AGTCACCGATAATTAGAGACCCTGAATGACATGGCTCAAAATCGTTTGCAATGGCGCATGTGCATCCACTCTTTGTGTTTTATCAAATCCTAGTCTTCAGGATTCGTCAACACCTCTACCCTTGTCTTTCTAGACCTATCTCACTGAATTATACTTCTCGAATCATATCTTCGCTCCCTAATCTTCTCCAATGCTGCTAATAATTCTTCTATCGCTATCACTCTTGGATTTGAAACGACAGTTACGTATGTGTGCTGACGTGGTATGGCAACCTGAACTGATGTACTTATGTACGAAGTTCTGTGTTGTATCTGTCTGTCTGTCTTACTGACTACCTCGATGCACAATGATTGCTTGCGTTGGAATAGATTGGAAGAAAACTTGGCAGGCAAATCTAGACATAGCATCAGTTTATAAAAGCACTGAATATTGGACTGTTCTTTGTAAGTGCAGACTTCGTTTTTGAGGTCCACTTGGTTTTTGTAACCAATGGTTAGACATTTTACATAACAACTCCAAATCTTCCGTAATGATATCAGGGCACTGATTCTGTCTTTCCTTGTATTACAAGTTCTTAAATTCCTTAATATTTTTATTTCATTAGTTTATATTTTTTCGAATCTTATCTTCAATGCCCAATTATTCTACTATCAATAATACTGTTACTACCTCTTCCACTCTGGGATTCACCGTGAAAATTTTACATTGCTATACTAATGAATCGTGTCAACTAAAACCGATGTACACAAGTGCTAGGTTCTACATTGCGTTTGACTGTCTTCGATAGTTGTGTCCTAGGCATTATTACTCCGATTTTCACTAGCTGTAAGATTTAATATTTAACGGGATTCAGTTTTAAATATAAAATCAGTCACCACAACTACTTCACAGTAGTAGCTGTTTGTTCAATATTTAAATCAATAAAACTTCTTCATAAACGGAAAATTAAAATTCTACCTTGACGGTCAATGCTATCTGGTGTATGAGTTGGATGAAACAAATCCAAGGGTGGCCAGACTAAGATTTGTCATTAGTCTATAAAATCCACTGATAATTGTACAGAGCCACTGATATTGTTACTACTTGTAACTGCTCTGAAGTTCATCACGATAGTTTTATCTCCTTAGGTTATTGTGTTATGGCCATTTAAACCAGTGCACATTCGTATCAAGTCTTACATTATATATTGCATTCGTTCTCACGGAATGTTGCAATATATATTCACTACTTGTATGAAAATTAGGCTTTTTTTATCTTCATGGAATAAGATATACAAAGCTAATGTGGTACGGCAACATGAACTTATGTACATACGTACGAAGTTCTACGTTGCAACTGACTGAGATATACAAAGCAGAATCCGAACATAGCATAGCTGTAAGTATTTTGAAATTTCTTAAGGATTCTGCTCACTCTGGATCCATCACTATATCGCTTGCAGAGTGGTGAAGTAAAAATAATCCATGTCATGATCATCAATTTTAAGTTTTTCATACGTCATTAGTTTATCATGCGTCGTACAAAGTAAAATGTATTATGAAAAAGTCATTCTATGAAACATCGTTCTACACGATTGTTGTATAGAATTTATTGTTGACTATTTTCTTCTCAGTTATTAATACTCACTAGATAGCACCGAAAGAAATATATCGCCTCATTGAAAAAGTTGAAAAAAGTCAATGAAGGAACCTTTTTAATACTGTCATTTACTAAATCTATTACTTACTTACTTACTTATGCCTGTTACCCCCAATGAAGCATAGGCCGCCCACCAGTTTTCTCCAACCAACTCTGTCCTGGGCTTCCTTCTCCAGTTCTGTCCAATGTTTGTTCATTCCTCTCATATCTTTCTCTATTTCTCGGCGTAATGTATTCTTTGGCCTTCCTCTTTTCCTTTTGCCTTGAGGGTTCCATGTGAGGGCTTGTCTCGTGACGCAGTTAGGTGCTTTTCGTAGTGTGTGTCCTATCCACTTCCACCGCTTCTTACTGATTTCCTCATCCACTGGAATCTGGTTTGTTCTCTCCCACAGTACGTTGTTGCTGATGGTGTCTGGCCAACGAATACGAAGTATTTTGCGTAGACAGCTGTTAATAAACACTTGTATCTTGTGGATGATGGCTTTCGTAGTTCTCCATGTTTCCGCTCCATACAGTAGAACTGTCTTCACATTTGTATTGAAAATCCTGATTTTGGTTTTGGTTGACAGTTGTTTGGAGTTCCAGATATTTTTCAACTGTAGAAATGCAGCCCTTGCTTTGCCAATCCGCCCCCTCACATCTGCGTCCGATCCACCTTTCTCGTCGATGATGCTGCCAAGATATGTGAAGGTGTTAACGTACTCCAAGGCATCTCCATCAAGAGTGATTTGGTTGGTGCATGTTGTGCTGCATCGTAGAATCTTGCTTTTCCCTTTATGTATGTTGAGACCTACTGCTGCAGAGGCTGCTGCTACACTGGTCGTCTTCTCTTGCATTTGTTGTTGAGTTTGCGATAGAAGAGCCAGGTCATCTGCGAAGTCCAGATCGTCCAGCTGCGTCCTAACTGTCCAGTTGACACCGTGCTTCCCTCCAGATGTTGACGTTTTCATAATCCAGTCGATGACCAGGAGAAAGAGGAAGGGTGAGAGTAAGCAACCTTGCCTGACACCGGTCTTCACCTCAAAGGAGTCTGTTAGCTGTCCTTCGTGTACGATTTCGCAGTTGAATCCATCATAAGAATTCCGTATGATGTTAACTATTTTCTCAGGCACCCCGTAGTGTTGAAGAAGCCTCCACAGTGTTTTCCTATCCACGCTATCGAATGCTTTCTCGTAGTCGATGAAGTTGATGTGGAGTGGTGAGTTCCATTCCATTGATTGTTCCACAATGATCCGTAATGTAGCAATTTGGTCAGTACACGATCGATCCTTACGAAATCCGGTCTGTTGATCTCGAAGTTGGGCGTCTATGAAGTCCTTCATTCTGTTTAACAATACCCTGTTGAAGACTTTGTCTGGTATTGAAAGAAGGGTGATGCCTCTGTAGTTTTCACACTTGCTGAGATCGCCTTTCTTTGGTATTTTGATGAGGTATCCTTCTTTCCAATCTGATGGTACTTGTTCCTCATCCCAAATCTTCTTGAAGAGAATGTGAAATATTTTCGCAGTTGCTTCCACATCTGCTTTCATTGCCTCTGCTGGAATGTTGTCTGGTCCTGCTGCTTTGCCGCTCTTGATTTGTCTGATGGCCATACTTATCCCCTCAATCGTAGGTGCGCCAATATTAATTGGGAGGTCCGTGGATGCTGCTTCGATGTTGGGTGTGTTCAGTGGAGCTGGTTGATTCAATAGTTCCTTAAAGTGCTCTACCCACCTATTTCGCTGTTGTTCAGTGTTGCTGATTACTTTGCCTTCCTTGCTTTTCACTGGTCATTCTGGTTTACGATAGTTTCCGGCGAGCTTCTTTGTTGTTTCGTACAATTGTCTCAAGTTTCCTTCTCTTGCAGCCTTTTCCGTCATCATTGCTAGATCTTCCACATATTTTCGTTTGTCAGCTTTGATGCTCTTCTTCACTTCCCTGTTTGCTTCTGTGTATGCAGCTTGTGCGGTAACTTTCTCCCCTCATGTTCGGCTGACATTGATTGCTGCCTTCTTGTTCCTCCTTTCTTGAATTTTTTCAAGAGTATCAACAGAGATCCATTCCTTGTGATGGTACTTCTTGTGACCCAGAACTTCGTTACATGCTGAAGTGATTGCCTTTTTAATCCCTTTCCAATTGTTATCCAATGTTGCGTCCTCTCCATTGTGTAGATCCTGAAAGGCCTGGAACCTATTGGTGAGGGCTATCCTGAATTCATTGAGCTTTACAGTATCCCGAAGAAGGCCGTGTTAAACTTCTGTGATGTTGTCTGCCCCGTTGTCCAGTGCTTTTTTAGTTTCAGTTTCATTTTGGCGATTAGCAAATGGTGATCTGAGGCTATATCAGCTCCTCTCCTGGTTCTCACATCCTCCATAGTCCTTCTGAACGTTTTGTTGATACAGATATGATCAATCTGGTTTTGAGTAGTGTGATCCGGTGAAATCCATGTAGCTTTGTGTATGCGTTTGTGCGGGAATATTGTGCCACCGATGACCAGTTTGTTGAAGGCACATAGGTTTGCAAATCTCTCACCTTTTTCGTTCCTTTCTCCCAGTCCATGTCGTCCCATGATGTCTTCATATCCAGTGTTGTCCATTCCAACCTTGGCATTCAGGTCTCCCATAAGAATCGTCAAATCCTTTGGTGAACATTTATCGACGATTGACTGCAGCCTTTCGTAGAATTGATCTTTAACGTCGTCATTGTAGTCGTTGGTAGGTGCATAACATTGGATGACGTTCATTGTAATGTCCTGTTTCTTTGTTTTGAAGGATGCTTTTATGATCCTGGGTCCATGAGATTCCCATCCTATCAGTGCCTTTTGTGCATGTTTGGACAGCATCAGTGCAACTCCTTGTGTATGTGAAGCGTTTTCCTCTTCATGACCAGAGTATAACAGCAGTTCCCCTGAAGCTAGTCTCAGTTGTCCTACCTGTGTCCAATGTGTTTCACTGATGCCGAGCACCTCGAGGTTGTATCTTTTCATTTCTGCCGCAACTTGAAATAGTCTTCCAGTCTCCCACAATGTACGAACGTTCCATGTACCTAAAAAAATGGTTTCTCTGGTTGTCAGAAGAGGCATCAGCCCCGTGACTTCCGAGGAAACTCGGCTTTCATCACGCGACGTCATAATTCTTCCTCCAACTCCCAGGGCAGAGTTAAAATGGTTTGAATTATTTTTTCTGGTTAGCGTTTTTTTGGCAAGTTAGTTTTTGACGGAATGGGGTCGCCAACCCCATGTCCAACCCTCCTCCTTTACCCGGTCTTGGGACCGGCAGTAGCCCCGAAGGTTCTACTGGCGGAGTTACTAAATCTATAGCAACCATATTTATAGTTATTCTTATGGTAGTCTGTTTTTCAATTGTTTTGTTTTCGAATATTAGATAATTGGTGTATGCAGTTATAAATATATCGCACTTCTAGTAATTAATACTGAACTATAACATTATCAAAAATGAATGTACCAAGAAACGAGAAAGTTCAACTAACAGTATACGAAGCAGATGTTGTTAAATTAATTTTGGAATTCTTGGAAAAGCGTGATCTAGCCATCTCTATGTTGGCCCTAGAACGAGAAACTGGACAAGTAAACGGACCGTTCAATGAAGATATACTATTCTTTCGTCAATTAATTTTGGAAGGTTATGTAAGTTAACTATTAACATACATTAACAAACTTCAAGCCTTGGTTATGCAATAATAATACCTTTTTCGCTGGGTGATCACAGTCAAGTTTTAACACTACTAAAACTTGACTTCGATAGAAAAATCTATCCTGATGGTTAGTAGAATAGTTTTCGAATGGTTTGCAAATGGCCCACTTAGCACTAGAGTTCTGTTAACTAAGTAACTTTCCATCATTTGACTTTAACTGCAAACAGATACCTGTTACATAGTTACAATATCTATCCTACTATGAAATTGTTAAGGTAGAAGAACGAAAACTATTGTTGAACAAAACTACCGTTAGGCAACGCGAGCATATCGATCAGCGCATATAGGTAGTTCAATATTTACCTGGTAAACAGGATAAAATCTATTAATGTTGAATGTGTACAAATGGTTGGGATTTAAGGCTACTCATACTGTGAAACGACGCTTCTCCGTAGAGAACCTGAACCAGAAACTGGATTGATGTTGATGTCGCCATCAATCTGAGAGCGTGATCTCAGCTGAATAGACAACTGCTTACACTTTTTTAGTGTTGGCCCCATATTTTGTTATCCTAACTGGTATCAAAAAGAAAACGAGAATGTTCTGTTAGGAGAACATAATGAAACTATAGTCTTATTGTTCTTGAGAACGTTTTCTGCACGACATGAAATTTCTATTACTAAAATCGATCAATCGAATGCTAATCGATACACCGGAACAGTGACAGTTACTCACAACATTGCGTAATTAAATTAAGGCCCTCAATTCTTTAAAAATCAACTATAAGACCATATTAACACAAGTAAGATTTCTAGCAGTTCATGTTGCCATACCACATTAGCACAGAGATGTAATTGTCAATACATATCCTATAGTAGCAGAGGTAGTAGAGGTATGAACAGCAATCGGAAAGATTAGGGATTGAAGATATTATTCAAGAAGTAGAATCCAGTGAAATAAACTTAAAAAGAAAAAGATAAAGTGATCAGGAATTAAAAAGTTTAGGATTTGATAAAACACAAAGAGTGGATGCACATGCGCCATTGCAAACGATTTTGAGCCATGTCATTCAGGGTCTCTAATTATCGGTGACTTTCGTCTCGCAGACCCCAACTAGGTAGCCCACATCTACCAACATGACTCAGTCCACTTGTCAGTGACTTCATGGATTTCTGACATGTTTTGGTCAGGTCGCCCCTAACTTTCGTCCAGCCTAAACCTACACCACAAAACATAGCTCGTCGAGGAAGTCGGTGGTTAGCTATACGTACCACATTTCTCAACCACCTCAACTGATGAAGGTTCAATGCTTCATCCTTACCTAGTACTGGTTTCCTAATGGCAGCATTGCTTACTCAGGTGTCCCAGGATACACGAGCAATGCTTCTAAGACATCTGTGATCGAATACTAGTAACCTACGAATATCTTCTGCTCTTAACGGCCATGATTCTCAGCCATAAATCAGAACGGAACAAAGTGCTGCACAGTTCACCGGACCTTTGGTTAGCAAACGGATATCTCGCCTACACTATAAATGACGTAAATTGACAAAAGCCAATCGAGCCTTCTGTAACCATACTCACATTTCGTCAGTCACCAGGCCATCGGCACTGATGAGACTCCTCAGATAAGTGAAGTGATCAACACGCTCGACTACTTCACTCCCTATCTCTAGTTCTGGTGCCGATGCAACCCAGTCTTGAAGCAATATTTTGCATTTCGAGGGTGAGAACTGCATCCCGAACATGCTTGCCTTGTTGCTTGGGGTAGTCAGAAAACTGCATTTTGTCAACGTTTTCACCGAATAGAATGGAGAGAGTGGAAAGCCCCGATGGACACCACTTGAAGTAAAGAATTCCAGTGACAGTTTGCCATAAGCTCTCACTCGACCAGTGGTGTTCGAGTAGAGAGCTTGTATAAGGTTAATGTACTTCTTTGGTACACGTTCCAATGACAGACACTGCCACAGAACCTCACGATCCACTGAGTCAAATGCCGCCTTAAGGTCCAGGAAGACAACTATTGTCGGACTCCTAAATGTGTGTCTGTGTTGTAGCACCTGTCGTTATATTGTGAAAATGTGGTCTATACAGCCACGTACAGGCCGAAAACCAGCCTGGTTTTCTCGAGTCTGCTCTTCACGAGCTCTAGTTAGACGTCTAAGTATAATCGGGGCTAACAATTTAGAAACTATATTAGTTAGACTGATTCCCCTGTGATTGTCACAAGAAGACTTTTGTCCTTTCTTATAAATTGGAACAATCAGTGATTGAGACCAGTGGGATGGGATTATGTCCAGTTCCCAGATTCTACCAAGATCTCAGTCAATCTAGCTGTTAAAACTGGACCATCATCCTTAAAAATGTTAGGCATCAATGTATCAGGTCCTGCTGCTCTCCCTTGCTGTAGATTTCTTATCGCTTTCTCAGCTTCACGAAGACCGATTTCCTTTATAAGGCGCAAAAGTTTTCTATTATTGCCAATTGCCGCTGCCTTTTCCATCGCTTTTACTTTCGTCACCCACCACTATCCACGGTCGTTGTGTAGGGTTTTCATCAGCCTGCGCTTAAGCTGACTTCGCTCTTCATCATGTTAAGAGCCAGGTGGGATGAGTTTTCGAGCCTCTATGAGTTCGGTGGATGCTACTGAGATCCACAGCTTCATCCTAGGCTTATGGCTTAGGTTATTAGAAGATATCGCTTCTGTTTTCACAGCCTTTTTGATATCATTCCAAGCTTCCTCCGGATGGGGATCACTTACATGGTTGCCTAACTCTCTATTTGTTCCTGGAATATGTTCTTAGCCTCATTATCATTAAGTAGAACCCTGAGAGGTTTTCGTGCGGTGTCTTTCCTACGTCCTGTAAGCCTCAAACAAATACATGATCTGTATCCAAACATGTGCCCCGGAACGAGCGACAGTCTTCTATCGAACCTCTCCATCTGTGGCTGTTGGCGATGTGATCTAGTTGGGTCCAACGTTTTGAAGACCTTGGGGGTCGCCAGATCAACAGATGTTTTTCCTTATGCCCGAAGTTAGTGTTTGCTAGAAATAGGCGGTTACCTGAGCATAGTTGCAACACACGGTCGCCATTATCTGTTCTTTGAACGGTGACACCATAAGATCCACCCAGGTGCCTTTTTCACTCAGTCCACCTACTTGAGCATTAAAGTCACCAGCCATTATTACTATATCATAGTACCTATCTTTTTGGAGGAGGTCCGAAAGCTTTCTGTAAAACTCATCTTTCACATCGTCTGAACTGCAGTCAGTGGGGGCATAGACAGATACGACGGAAAGGCAACAGCGAATGTCCCTATCTTTACGAGTCGTTACTGTCCGGTTCAGTCGGACAGCGCACAAGCGACTATCCACTGGGATCCAGTCAAGGAGAGATTGTTCAGCTCTACGACTCAATGCTATACCTACGCCAGCAAGACCCCTGGACGCAGCATCAGGGCTTGCAGATACACGAAGAGTAAATCGAGCTGCTTCTTTATCTTGACAAGGTGAAATCAGATTAATAATTTTAATAGGATCCTGTATGCACTTTTCCGAGACGCAGCATACATCGATGGCACGTGATTCTAGAGTCTTAGCTAATGATGCCCGTTGCCCTATTTGACATAATGTCCGTACATTAAATGCCCCAGCATGTGGTTTAGAACGGGGTTTCAGGAGACCAGGCATAGCGTTTCGAGAACTCGAGTCGTTTGCAGCAGAGTTGCGGGCTGATAAAGGAATGTGAGAAGAGCTAGTCGTGAAGATAAGAGAGATAATGTGGGGTGTAGGAAGGATTTGATTATGACCGATTCGGTCTCGTGCTCTGTTTTTGGTATGAGGGCGGTTGTCAGGCTGCCCACATCGTGGAAGAGTGTTTCTTGAGGAACCTGAAGAATAAGTTGGATTATTGTTGGTCTCAGAGACCTGGGAGCGTGACTGCAGAGTCCAAGGGACAACTGCTTGAAGCCGGTCACGCACGGCCATTTTATTGGAAGCTTTTAGTGTTAGCTCCGCTCTTGTTTAATGGGACCTACCATCGGAGACGGAATCCATGATGTGATATGAGGTGTGACATTTTTAGGATCGACCTTTTCTAACCCTTCCTTCCTTGTATGAAGGCAGCGTCGTTTAAGATGCTGTTTGTCCGAGGGAAACACCTTACTACTGTCACACCCCTCTGCATTCAGCAGTACGACTTCGCCCTCAGGCCTAGAGTAGCTGGTTTTAGTTTCATCGTTCTCCAAATGACCTGCCTGGCATGTTAGAACCTTCAGGAACTTGTGTTCCAGCCAACATAGCTCAGTTGGGTTATCACGATAGGCAAGCCCGACCACCACGTCAAGGTAATAGCTTTGGTTGGGACAGTTTCAGCACTGGGGAAACTTAATGTACTGATAAAACCGTATGCTCTAAAATGCAGTATATATTGATTTTTGAACTTAACGGGCATCATTTGTTGGTGGAGGTAGAGTTGTACTTACTGATGCGTGTTTCTTGATGCCATAATTTATAGGGTTGAGTTACGTATAACACGGCACCGTATCATGAAATTATTGATCGCTAGACTGAGCCATGTTGGTAGGTGCAGACTATTTTCTTTAAGTCTTCAAGATGATTGCGACCAGTGATCAGATATATTAGGTGACATGGCTTACGATTAGTTTTAGCTACGTGTATGCTTTTACTTCCCATCTTCCTCTATATTGTCTCATCCATCTTATTTATCCGCTTCATCCCTTGTAAAGGAATATTCTATAGTATTCAGCTCTTCTCAGTGTCGCAATCAAATCCTTTCTACTACTAATAACTGTCTTATCTCCATGACCACCCTTTCGATCGATTGTCGCCTCGCTCCGCATAAGCAAACGTTTCGAGCTCACGAAACGCTATTCCCGGTCTGCTGAAAACCCGCCCTAAACTACATATTAGAGCTTTCAATGTTCGAACCTTGTGTCAGATTGGGCTACAGGCTTCCTTAGCTAGGACTCTGAAATCCCGAGTTTTCGATGTATGTTGCTTCTACGAAACGTGCATACAAAATTGGAGTAAAATCATCAATTTGATTTCATATTGTGCAGATAGAGAATCAAATCGTTTTACGCTTCGTGTATCTGGAAACGCTGCTGCTGCTTTCCGGGGCCTCGCTGGTTTACGTATAGTATTAGGTCTTAGGGCAGAACTAGCTCTGTTTGACTGAATCCCGGTAGACAGTCGCCTATTCACTGTCCGACTGAAAGGGACAGTAAGGACTCAGAAAAGTAGGGACACTCACCGTTGCCTCCTTATTGTCTCTGTTCACGCCCCCTTTGACTCCAGCTCAGACGAGATAAAAGACTATCCCGGTTTTGTATTAATTTTCTCAGTTATGATTTAGAAATCATTCCCATAAGCTTATTATCAGTGTGATTATCCTTTTTTGTACCCAATAATTCTATTCATCTACTATGTTACTCTAACAATTATTTTCGCATTCTGTTATTGTAGTGGGACGATGCTCTTGACTACCTGGAACCATTACGAGGTCCACCTGTTGAATTAGATCTTAGAAAGCCTCGATTTTTATTGCTAAAATACAAGTATCTAGAATTATTATGTCTGCGTGATCTAAGTAATTTTGATGGGAATAATCCAACTAATGGGACCGCTGGTGTTAATACCAATGAAAATGATATAGACCATAGTGTTGAACAGGTTAGTTTCTTATGTTACAGAGTTGTGTTTCATCTTAAGTCATTTTATTTTTAAATCATAATACTGTTTACGTTGTAAGTGTACAGCATTCTAGAATAGACAATCACGATTTCAAACCATTCTTATTTGACTTCAACAAAATAAATCCAGAAAGTAGTATCAACTTAATTTACTGGTTTATAATTTTGTTGTGTTAGTAAAAATCTAATCGGTTAAACTAACCTTATTAAAAGTGAGTGAAGTAGTGTCTGGAATCAGTGCCTAAAATTAATCTGAAGCTGAATAATTTTAAATGTTATCGGTATACCTAACATACTTACTTTAATTAATACTCTTAATCCGACTCGATGTCTGCACATTTTTATGTAAAGTACTAATTACACGGAGTTAATCATATTGATTATCTTGATTACTTACGTCTGTAACCCCTCATAAGGAATAGGTCACCGACCAGCATTCTCCAACCTACTCGGTTCTGGGTCTTCCTTTCCAGTTCTACCCGATTACTGTTCATCCTTTTGATGTCTATCTGCTTTCAATTTTCGACTTAATGTGTTCTTTGGTCTTCCTCTTTTCCTTTGGTCTTGCGGATTCCAAGTTAGGATTTACCTTGTGACTCAGTTGGATGCTTCCTTCTACATATGTCCTATTCAGATTGGCTTTATTAACTATTACAAATTCATTAGAAATGCTTTTGAGAATTTCGGTCTAACAATAATATTTACGTTGTACAATTTCTATCATTTCTTAAACAATACTAAATTATCATTTCTGTATTGTATTTCTCTATATTTGAGTAAAAGTAGATTTACGGAGAAACGTACCAAAATTTTACAGTAAATTATTTATTGATTTACAATATACATTATTCTTTGTAAATCACTGTCTATTGGTTGTTTTTATTTTTTGGGGGAAAAACACAACAGGTTGTTGATTGCTTGAAACAGTTAGAACCTGAATGTGAAACTCAAGCTGAATATCGTGATTTAACTCTTTTGTTAACGTTAACACGATTAGACCAACATCCGGATTATCGTGATTGGAATCCAAGTTTAGGCCGTTTACACTGCTTTAATCAGGTTGGTTTTAATTATATTAATAATTAGTTATAATTACATCTAACCACGTCCTATTTCAATTCATTGTGTACCTATTTTCAGTACCCATAAATAAAATTAATTAATAATTGCAATTTAAAAAAATATTAAAACATCATAGTAATATGGGGTTTTTTTTACCTTACCTTCGGTTGTACGACTACAGTATATTTTTTTTTACTATTTTAGTGATAACATCACTTTTCTGTGTGTATTGTATAAAATCTCAGCATATCTCGGTAAAAGATTAATTCTCATACCTTATTATGTCACTTTTTGTTTGAATGGTCAGTTGAAAATGGATTACTGAACACTTCATTTCCATGTAATGTTGTGGTGAGATATATTAGCATGTGTATCATCGTCAGTCTAATAGTTGTTGCGGATGAAATAATCATACTCAGTATTTGCTAAATAAACATTATCAATAATAGTAAAAATTAGCAAAACATGTTCAACTATTTTTTTGTGTGTGAACAATTATACTACTTTATACCGTCTATAGATTATGTAGATTAAAAAAAAGGCAGCAACAGTCAACAAACGGTAACAATAAAAATATACTGGAAGTGATGAACGGTAATAGTTGTACTCTCAACAATATCACACTCCTCTTTAACAATATCATTTTGAGCGAATATGTCCTATTGTGAAATTATTTCATATGTATCAACACATACTTATAGTTTATTTTGAGCCAAGCGATAACTACAAATGTATAGACGTAACTCTGCAACAATGATTTAGTTCTAGTGATTTCGTTTAAATATCTTAACTATAAATTTTTATAGTTTACAGTGTTAAAAGGAGTTTGATACATTCCATTTAATTAGACGCTTGAATTATAAAAAAACACCAACTGAACGATTATAGATGACTATTCAAACTCTTGTTGATACCGATTTCTAGTAAATCATCATTAGTCAAGGAATTTTGATTAGCAAAGAAACTTGATATTACGTTGTCAGTGCGTGTGCATTTGTCTGTATATGACGCATCACTTGATTCGTTGAATACAATGATCTAACACATGGTGAGTAGTTTTAGCTTAATTGTCTCAGTTGTTATATTATCTGCATCACCTGTTGCTTGTATTTGGAAACAAAGGGTCTGCTACAATTCCGATTTTGCAAAGTGAGAACATGGAAGACTGCTGCAAGTGAAAATGTATTGACTCCATTATAAACAAGATGACAAAGCAAGTCTTCAAATCACATCATCATTAGACCAAAATACAATAATTCATGCTGATCTCTACATTCATTTAACAATATCACTTAGAGGGAGGAATACATAGAGTTACTGTTAGAATGAACTAACTTTGAAGATAGTTCACCTGGATTGACACAGGGAATTTAATTGTCACACTGAACGAAAATTTTCACTTGAACAAAGTTTATACTGAATTAATAAAAGAAAATACTGACCTCGAAATGTCACAGTGAACGACGTTCTCATCATGTCACCCTTGTCAAAATTCCTAATGAATTTATGCAAAATATGCTGACCTACATAAGATCATATTCTTATTCACTTTCTCATAATCTACTGTCCACACTCGTATTTTTTTAAATCTTCAGATAACATATGATTTATAAAAATTTCGAGTTTTTTTCTACTGTTGCATAACTTATCGCTTCTCATGTAATTTGTTTCAATCCTTTTCCTAAAAAAACCAATTTAGATCTATCCACTATTACAACCATTTATTCAACTCAGTAAACATTCATCTAGTGGTCAGTCATCGAATGAAGAAAATGCTCGTGGTGATCGACTTTTACGATTACTTGTTAAAGGTTTACTATACGAAGCATGTGTAGATTACTGTGCTCTGATGGCTACAGAACAAAAGGCTCAAATGCAGATAACTGGAATGCTTGGAGGTTTGTGTACTTGTTGACAAAAATCATTTGCTTGATTACCAATAAGTTATCAATGATGATATTCGATGATTATAATATCTGTGAATTAAACTAATCTCCACAAAGCCCCGTCAAATAAATTACCACTTAGTATAATGCTGGCTTTGGAGCTTTGAGATTTTGTGTTTAGTACTAGTCTTGCAAATGGTGTTGTTGTTCTACTCACTCTGATTTGAGAATCTAGACTTCACAAAGAGGTTTTTTTGTGGTGTTTGCTACTCACAACGAGGCTTATAAGTAGTATGTAATAAATGTGCAACAGAGTGTCACTCTAAAGTTACGACTGAACCTAGAAGTACTGGATACGGATTATGGAGCAATCTGAATGTTATAAGGAATAAAAGACATGTGAAAGAAGACACCCAAGAATACACTTGTTTTGGAATCGAATGCTTTCTGATATGCTGTACACTTTTTAGCATGTCAATTGTGTCTTTGAATCAATTTCTTATCCCACCTGGTCTTCTGTCTTTTTCCATTTCACTTGTTCAATTACATATTTATTTTCCATCCAACAAAAATTTTTATTCCAGCCACTGAAGTTGTTGGCATCATGTATTCAAAAAACTCTTGGGATAACCTTTTGTTTTCAAATAAAATACTTGCTAAAACAGTGGGTATCCCTATCGACTTACTTATCGATGAATATGAGAACGACTGTCGAAAAAATATATCTTGTCTTTCTGCACACTTTAAATGTAGTGAATCTTGATATCTATTATTGTACTTATTACTGATAATGCTCTGCTGAAACCTACATAATCTTGCCACAACCATGCATAACAGTGACAGAACAGAGTTTTATCGCACAAAATCAGAATGATTAGTTCCCATTAGTTCATATGAAGACCGGCAAATACACCTGATAATTAGGTCGTATCACGAGCAGATTAGCTTTATGATAAAGTAAATGAGGATATTCAATTTGAAAACTAGATCATTCGACCTCAGAATGAATGTAACACTTTAAATGACCTATCTCTTTGTCAAATTCGTTATTCTATTGAAAAAGTTTTGTTCAACAATCAAAAACGATATCATGTTTATATTTTTACCAAGTATTTTAACTAAAATACTTGTCTTAAAACTGTAAAATGTTCGTATTTCAAACCTTGTCGTTAATAATTTTATGATTAATAAACCTTGTCATCTCGTTTATATTTATGTTTTGATTGTAATTTCATTATTATAGCATAATTTTACTCATTAATATGTACATAGATTATAAGCAACTATAATGAAAGAGATTCCTTGATGTATTAAGATTCTTTCTGTTCTTTATATTTGCACTGCTGTATAAATGAGTTGGTCAAATTTTTTGTGTCTATTCTAAATACTTGTTTCTACTACAAGCTGACGTTTAATCGAAAATAATTGGAAACCAAATAACTATGTTTAATAACTGCTTTTTCTTTGTCATACCTTAGTATTATGATCACATTGTGTTGTAGTCTTGTGAATCAGGTTGTCTATGCAAACTATCAATAAAATCACAAGTGTTGACACAATAGCTCTCTAGTAATCTTTGATTTAACTGATGTAGAAATAGGTTGGAAGAAAGCTACAAGTAACCAAGCCAAGATATCGAATCAATTCATAAAGTAATTGTATGTTGGACTGAGCTGTGTTGGTAGATACAGAATACGTTATTGAGTTCCGTGCGATTATCTTAACCAGTTGTCGGAAACTTTGCTTGTTATGTTTCGAAACCGGTTTCACTGGCAAATATATATTCATTCTCTTTTCACCGAAACTTTCAGTTTTAAAGCCGTCTTATACTTTTTTGTTTAGCGAATTCATTCTTTCTTCTTGGACCATATTATTTATACTAACTGTTCTCTACTGTCCACCAATTCCGTTACTACTTTTGCCGTTCTATGATTTGTTTCGATAATTTCATCATACCTGTAGTAACGCAACATATCAGCTTGAGCAAATGCACACGTGTCAGATTCAACGTTGCTCATGTCTTACTAATCTTATTTTTCAGTGGTTCTAACTTATGTCAGTTCATGAAGAAAACCTTATTTAACACTGTATTCATCATAAGCACCGGCTGTTCCTCATAGATATAAATATTCATTGCGTCTAACCATTTACCGTCAAAATATTGTTCATTTTAGAATTCATTGTCTCTCTTCTTTCTCTCTTGTCTTTTAGGCGATTTAGATGAAGAAGAAGAAACTGAACGCCTTTATAATCAGAGTATTTCACACTCAACAAAAAACTCTGAAACAAATCAACGTGCACATACTCATTCTGCAAGTCACTGTCGTCAACCTGTTGCACCGGATCTATCATTAAATTCATGGCTTCAATCATTGAAACCAGTTAATTTTAGTCAACCATTTCAATCATATGAATTAGATTTGAAAGTTCAACCAATTAATCGACCAACACTTGAATCTAGTTTATGGCCAGAACATATATTAACTCAACCTACAGTGAAACCACTTGTGTTTCCTTATACTCATATACCGGAATCAAGCGGTATAATGGGATCAAGTATTCAACATTCAATACATAATCCAGCTTTGAAAAGAGGTCATCTTCGAGGACCTGGTGGTGAATTAATGCGAAGTCTTATTCCTGCATATGAAGGACTTCCTAGTGGTCTTTTACGTACGGATCCATCTTCATTACAAAATGATCAACTTAACAGAAATGATGATAGTAATCTTAATATTATCAGTTCAGGTTTACGTCCAGTCATTCGAAGCGCGGGTCTACCTAATTTATCTCGACGTGGTGTAAGCTTTCTGATGTTTCCATTTTTTATTTGTTCTTCACCTTTTTATATCGAATTTGATTGAGGAGGTACGCATGTAATCTCGTATGAGTTGTATGCTTAGACTGAAAACTAGAAAAGTTCATGTACATTCTGTTCAAAATGGATTTACCGTGTCGAATCACCCCTAAATGCTTTGATGCGACCAAGAATGAGGAGAGTTCACTCTCCTCAAAATTTCATATGGCTACGCGTATATATAATATATATACCACGGAATTCCTATTCACTACCTTCTCGTGGTGGGAGTTCGGAAAACCATGGTTCCAAACTAATGGTGCGTATGGACTTCAGAATCCTAATAGAATAAATTACATACGAACCTGTTGTTGGTCACCGGCTACCGTACAACTGCAGCTCCTGATGTTGTTCCACTGCCTTGTAGATTAGACCTCTGGGTCCAAGGCTCGAAGAGTAGCCCCTCAAAAATTCATTTGCTTCTGTTTGAGCACCCAGGATGTATCCTGACGTTGTTATATCCAGTGAAGACGAAAAGTTGGTTACATCCAGGACTAAACTACGAGCTATTACTGCATGAGTTCTTATTGTATAATTATTCAGTATCTAGATTATGTATATATATTCTTTTTATCATTAGCTCCCGATCAACTCATCAACTACTCTGTATAATGCGATGTTCTTAATCTGTTGTGGGTTTGTTGCTCAGTTTCTCTTACGTGCAGCCACTTTTTGACTTTGCTGAGTATAATTTTTATTTTATAGTATAATGCGACCGATTGTCTATGTGCAAACTACGTATGTTTGAAACATTATTTCTCACAGTGAAAGCTAATTGTTTTGTTCTTGACTCAACGCACAGGGCAGGGTAAGAGGTTACCAAATTGATGACCAGTAACGACTGAGTAGCTATCCAAGGCTACTAGGGTTGTGTTGGCGTGTCATTGGTTGGCTGAGGGACAAGGTCACAAGGAAAGATATTCTGGCTGGCGTTACCGTTACATGTGATTGATGAGTGGCGAATAAGTCACAACACATAAGTTTAATGATTTTTGTGGCACATTTTGGTACCTGTTCGCACCAATGTTTGCGTTTCAATAAATAAATTTTCATCTCTATCATGTCAATTAGTTTTGGACGCTGCAAGACTTTAGTTGTGTACCACTTTACGCTACCATAAAGAGTGACAAATCAACAAAAAAAGAAACACAATCAACAGTTTAAACAGTAGTTGGCAACTTAACTACTGAGAAACGCATGATTTCCAAAAACAAACTCGATTTGAATCAGCCTTTGAAGATCCGAGTTTTTGACCACCGAATCTAAATGTACACTCGTGGTTTAAAATTCGAAATAGCGAGTCTATCCATTCATTTTGATAATAAGAAACACTTCCACTCTAAAGTAACTGTGTGGTTAATCACCAAATTGTTTGTCGTCATATCAAAAATGTGAAGAAAATCTTTCTTAGATTACTTACTTGTGTGTGCGAATATGCACCTAGTTTTTGTTCCTAATCTATATTTCTTTTCCGAACTTTGCCTCATCCTCTCCGTGTGCACATTATTCTTGGTGTTCTCAGAGTTGAGGTCATTTAATCGTCGAAACCTGTTCGTATCTTCTGGTATGCATGATATTTTGCCAGAGAAACCTCTTCTGTCTCATCCTAATTCGATGTGTATCTTTAAATGAAGAGGGATTTCTGTGTGATTTGACTGAGTGTAATGGCCAAGAACAAACGTGTCTGATTTTGTGCCATTTACTGTACTGTTCAGACTTATGTGCTGTAAATTGTGTAACTGTTCGGGATGATAATGCTCCAGATTCTGTGCTGCTTAAAAACTGTAAGTTTTTACTGTTGCACCTAATATAATAATTGATGGCATTTAATAAGTTGCATGTTGTCTGTTAATGATAATTCGCAACTGATACATTCTCAAATTTTAGTTGAAGGAATTTTCTTGGAGATTGTGGTTCAATTTATGTGTTGTATTCATCATTGGTTGCCCTGAATTAGAATACCACTAAGAACCAAGAAACACTGGATATCTGTTTCATCCCAACATGGAATTTTTCACCATTGCACTTTCGTGGCATCGCCAGAGATGAGATCCTGAATTTTCAGTGTGAAACAGCTTTTCAGTACTCCCTGGTTTTCAATATTGACCCAACTGATTTCTATTTGTGATGAGTATAACTTAAATTTTTACATCATAAGATTTTCATGTGAATTATTGCCTACTTCCTTTTTTTATAGCCTCGTCTAATGACTCATTCCTTATCTGGATTTCGTCTTCCACCTAATCCAAATTTACAATTTTTAAATCATCAGTCTAGCTCCAACCAAACAGTAGCAACTAAAAATGCACAAGATGACAATATCGTATTAGGGAGTAAAGTGCAGAATAATTCAGCTGATCAAAACAATACTGAAAATGCTAATTTAGAATCAACCGCCATTAGTACAAGTATGCAAGCTTCAGTAGATCGGTTATTTTTATTACGTGGTCAAATATCAACTAGTTCAACCGATATGAATAATTCTACGACCGATCATCATGAACGTAACATATGCACAACTTTGCGAAATTCAATGTTATCGACTCGTCCTACTACTGTAACCGGTGGTCAAATGCAATCAATTACAGAAGAACCACCTCAATCATCATTTGATCCGGTTAATAATGATCGATCAGGGACAAAACAACTTGTCAATAGTGATGATACTATTAGTCCTCGAAAATCTCTATCATCTTCATCACCAGTTAATAGAACAATGTCTGGTAGTCTATCACCAAAAGAAATGGTTACATCAATGCAAAGTTCAATTATTATCGATATAGAAGGTGATCTATGTGTTGTGTTTATTGTTAATTAATTAATTATCTTGTATATTCACCAATTTTTTTATTGTTCAACAGTTAGTATTTTTCAGCTCTGAAGATTCGGAAAATAAAATAATTGTCTTTCGGTTGCATTTAAAAACAACTATCCTTACTTAACATTACCTTAATTTCTAAAGATTAACAGACTAGGTTTAAAAAATATTCATCCAATTGATATTAAATATGCCCTATAATTCTCGAACTTATTTCAATTGTTATTCGAGTAGATGAACTCATGTATTGTCAATTTGGAATATCAGTAATCATCAAGTGTTGATGAATACTTCCTGAACAACAATCTCATTACAACACTTAGTGATATATATATATATATATATATATATATATATATATATATATATATATATTTCTCGTTTCATTCATCCCCATCTATCTAAAAATAGAATTGGTGCATGTATATTAGGCATAGGATGATGAGTTAAATAAAGTCCTACCTAAAATATTACAAGTTTTTCCAATCGTTATCTCATCTACGCCAGACAGACAGATAGATACAACGCAGAACTTCGTACGTACGTACATCAGTTCAGGTTGCCATACCGCATTAGCACAAATACGTAACTGTCAGTTCAAATCTAATAGTGATAGCGATGGTAGAAGTAGTAGCAGAAGATATTATTCGAAAAGTATAATTCGGTGAGATAAATTTAGAAAGAGAAAGAGATGATTAGGAATTCAGAAGGTTAGGATTTGAGAGAACACCAAGGGTGGATGCACTTGCGCGATTGTAAACGATTCTGAGCCATGTCATTCAGGGTCTCTAACCATTGGTGGCCTTCGTCTCGCGGACCCCAACCAGATAGCCTATATCTACCAACATGACTCAGTCCAGTTGTCAGTGACTTCATGGATTTCTGACATGTTTTGGTCTGGCCGCCCCTAGCTTTTTTCCAACCTACTCCTACACCACAAAACATTGCTCGTCGAGGCAATGGTTAGCCATTCGTAACACATGTCCCAACCACCTCAACTGATGAAGTTTCACTACTTCATCTATTGATTTGCCATCCTTACCTAGTACTTGTTTCCTAACTTTAGCATTGCTTACTTGGATATCCCACGATAATGAGCAATGCTTTGGAGACACTTATGATCGAAGACAACCAATCTACGAATCTCATCTACGACTGTAATGATAGTCAGTGTTTTGTGTTTATTACTATAGACTGATAACATATTATTTCTAGGTTATTATGGTCAAAAAGTTTTCATATATGTTGTATTGTTCATATTGAATTCATCAAATATATTATAATTTTCAAAATTATTCATTCTATCAATACTGTTTTATAGTGAGTAGTGATTCCGGACATGTCGGTAGATATAACAACATAATATGGTGAATGAATCACTAGATAATTTACTAAGCCAAGCAATTAACATTAAAGGTAGTACTATTATTCGAATCATTTTTACGATCTAAACCTCTGATCAGAGTTAGTTGTAAAAATTAGAAAACTCCTCATCAGGTGTTTTTACAACACAATTTTATCTTTTTTCTTGAATTATAGAACGATGTAAAGTATTGTAGATTGTGTACAAATCATATCATCACTTGTTATCATAGACTAATTGTTTTAAAATGATCGTTTTCATATTTTATTAAAGATAAAGATAATCATAAACTCGGTTCACATGCTGGCGATTTATTGCATGAATTTCAAAAACGTCGTCTTGATAGAGAAAATTCTCAAGTGCTCAGTTCTACTACTACTAATAATGATGATCAATCGTGTTCAGCCGCATCTCCTGTAAGTCCTTCACTTATTGTTTTGATCTTCTTCATTATTGAATATATAACTCATTAAGTGAAGTAAACTTTGGTTAATATGTGTAGCTCTTGAAATAATCGAAAAGTAGCTGCTTTTATTATTGTTGAGTTGAATTGGGTTACGAAGCCTTCAATGTCGTTTTGAACAACATAATGGTCACCATACTTCATATAGAACTGAGCTTTCTAGTTATCAATTAGCAATCATGCAGTAACGAATATCATTCAATCATAGAATCAAAGGTCAGCTGAAAAGCACAGTCATTATTATTGCGAGGACAAATGAAGACTATAAAACTCACAAAGGCAACGAATCACAACCAAGGACATTGGGACGAAATGATGTGAGATTTTGTGGGATAACTGAATATCCCACTTTTACATGAATTAGCTTTACAATAAATCATCCAACTCAATGATCATATCACTACCAAAAATATTTCGCTAAAATTTTTAAGGTTTATAACCGACATAGATATATTCTGAAATTAATTAATATTGTGTTGTATGTGATTAAACACTATGGTTTGCAAACATTTTATGCAAATTAAGGCTAATTTGTCTAAAACATTTTCATAATTTCATAAGACTATTGATTCCTTTCACAAATAATCATATTTCTGTTTTTGATCGAGTTTCATTCAAAAAATATTTCCTCTTTTTACTCCTTAATTATTATCCATCTGTATGACCAATCAATTTTAGAAATGTGATTAGCTGACTGCTGGATTTTCTAACTTGATTTCGAAGAGACATACAGACAGATAAACATAACATGCGTCACATCGATTCGAGTTATCGTATATTTTACGATAAAAAAAACAGTGAAAGTTTATAAAACATGAGCGTGAACGTCAATAAATCGATAATAAATCGATGCAATGTTAAGTGATTTTAGATTTATTGCCAAATAAAGAAAAAAGAACACATAAATGTGTACACTACTGTGATTTGATTTTGTCTGTGAAATCCAAAGTACTCTATTCATCAATTTCTTGCTTTCATTACGTAATCATGAAACAGAAGACTAAATTCATATCATATCATAATTTCAAGCTATTTTGGGTTTTTTCCTCTAATTTCCATCCATTCGTCGATAGTGTTCTCTATTCTATTGACTAGTTATTACGTTTAGAAATTCCTTGATACCTTGAAGGCTCTGTACACAAACACATAAGTCGGATAACCAATCACCTATCTCAATTGTCCTAATCTAACAGAAGAGTAAGACAGAGTCACCCAAATTCATGATTACTTCTCAAACTTGCCTAGAGACAGCTCTGAAGAAATTACTTGGTGGTGGTTTGTATTTGCTTCTCAAAGAAAAACTTCGATCACGGGTACCCCAGATGACCCCGTACTGTTCAACAATACACATACTACCTAAACCGCAATTAATCAGTTAAATACATATATTTATGGAATGTATTTTTCTCCTTCTAAATTCAAAGTGCTTTTGCAAGACTGGGACGAGCCTGTACATACGCTCATACCTTATGATAAATACTTGAAAAATTCGTGTATCATGGTAGTTGTGTGTGCTGGTGGTGGTGTTGTGACGAATGAGATCAATCTTTGTGTGGCTCATACTAATCTGAACAATCTCATTAATCGTTGGGATGTTAATCTGATTCTAATAGGTCTGGTTTGAAAAACATCAGTTAGAGCAGTTTTGTGTGATAAATAGTCTTCAAGTTGAGTAAGCTCCTTAGAGTGGAGCACATTCTTGGTGTCCTATCGTGCTAAAAGATATGTGCTTTAAATAAATCAAAGTTTTTTCGTCTCATAAGTTTGTTCTGTAAAAAGTTGTGTTTTATTATTTAATTCAGCATCCTTTATGTCGAAAAAGTCGGTCAAGTCATCCTATTTCTATATGATTTATCACTTAATCCTTGTTTGTTCTTTTTTAATGCAGATTATTAGTCAAGCTACAAAAAGTCCTACTCAGGATGTAACACTACCTGAAACTGTTGAACCTGGTGTAAATGAGAAACCATCTGTTGCTGGTTCCTCGCCACAACCACATCCACATGATGCTGACATGGATAAATCAAATAAACTTAATGGTGAAGTATCGGACACCGCTGATGTCACTCCTCAAACTCCACGTTACATACCTGTAACAGTTTTAGAAGATAGTCAACCAATACGTTGTGTTGCATTTCATCCATCTGGACGATTATATGCTGTTGGTTCGAATAGTAAATTTTTACGTGTATGCCAGTATCCTGATGTACAGCATCTCAGGTGATTTTTTTATATAAACACTTATTCTGTTTTTTAAATGAGTTTACGTCAGACCTGTTTGATCATTTTAAAACTTAGGTAACTTTACTCGAGCTGATTAATCAATGACACAAGAAATCATATTCATAGAAAGATCTTGTTTACTATAAATAACCATTCTGATGTTGCTAAACTAGCGAATATAATGCCCAGTAGTTCACTCTGTGAGCAAACGAACAAACTTTAAGATAAGAAATTGAGAACATTACATTGTACACTACCGGGACCAATTGAATAAATATACAGAGACCAAGTGCCAAGTAATCTGTTTAATTGCTGTAGTTGATCGCCACTCTGTTCATCATTAATATTACATGGTGGTGATTTGTATGTTTTTTACTTATTACCCGTTTATTGAAATAGAGTAATTTTTCATTCGGTAGTTTTGCAACTTATCTGATTTGATTACCTTTATCTAACTGTTTATATTAAATACTATGTCAAATCAATCTATAAAATGTTTGTTTTTGCATTTCCTAAAAACAACCATCAAACATGTGATTAATTTCAACTTATTCGTAAAAAAACCTTTCACACTCTGAATCACGTTCGAAATAACGTCGAAATTCTTGTAGTTCAGTAAATATTTTCACTATTATTCTTTGTAGTGCTAAACATATAGCTACTTCTCCAATAGTTTTAATGAGACGTCAAAAATATCACCGAGGTAGTATATATTGTGTTGCATGGAGTCCAGATGGTCGACTTATTGCAACAGGAAGTAACGATACTACAATTCGTCTACTTCAAATGGATCCAACTACTGGGATACCAGAGGCTGCTCTTGGTGATCCAGAAATAGCAAGTACCGCTGGACAAGCCATAGAATTACGATACCATGATAGTACAATACGAGATATTGCATTTCTAGTAAGTTTTTTTCACTATACAATGTTGATTTCGATTATAACATAATGATCTGTTTTTTTTTCTGAAGCAACTGTCACGTTATAAGTTGTTAATCCTGAAGTTAAGTAATTTTTTTAGACAATTGTGTTAATTTTTAGTTAATGGAAATGTAACTAAAATTAACAATTCTTTCATAGTAGTTAATTGTTAAAAAGCCAACACACTAAGTAGTCTACAATGTATTTAATTTTTTATTGAGATTGAATCGTTAAAAAAAATACAAAATTATGCATCATTAGTAGTAGTTATTCGATTGAGTTATATTTTTGGCTATTTTTAAGAATTTAAAATAGTTATTGTACGGTAAATCATACTTATTTCTGTTTAACTATTCGTTTATTGCAACTGTGTATATTGTGAAATGAGAAAACAAGGCGAGTAGAGATAATCGGTGTATGTAGAAATTAAATGAATTGACCGATACTCATGCAAACCAAGATGTGTCTAATAGTCTATGTGACATAATACATATCTCTTAAGTGAAACATTTATAAGCATTTGACTGAAAGATTCATTCTTCTTTTTTGCCATAATCAAAATTTTTGACAGTATGAAAAGAGTTCTTGTGCAGTACAACACACCTCAGATCACTTCAGTAATCGATAACGATTTCCTTCAGAAGAAAATTGAAATGTATGACTATATTCAGATATTGCAATCACAGTTTTGTTGCATTAATTAATGACCGTTGTATTATTGAGTTGAACAAATAGTTTGGATTGACTAATTAACAATGGTGTAATTCACTAATCTATTTTTATTTACGAGTTTCATTCCAGAATGTACTACTAGTACAAACAGTTTCACAATCAACTGACTAGTCCTCTAATTATGTTTCTCATAAATAATACACTTTTCACTATCTGATCAGATCATTCCAATTAATAAAGTTGGATGTGTAAACACACCGAATAAAGTCCTGTAAATTATCATGTTTCCTTCCAGTTAATAATTATGATGATGTAGGATGTTATCATAACAATTAAATCACCCGAAGTTACAGGTGTGAATCCTGCCCTAATCACTTTCAGTTTAGCTTGTTTGATCGTATTCACATTCAAAATACTGTGACTCAAAGTCGGGTATCCGAACATTTGTTCGACAAATGAATTACATCAGATGACAAAATGTGTAAATTTCAATGACAGGTAGGAGGATCTAAGCCATTAGTAGTAGTAATATTCTGAATTCTTTTTCCAGTAAACTTATTGATTTCTTTCATTGCTTTGTTTTTATTCCTTTTGGAAAATTTAATCTAGTTAGGAAGTTATCCATCTTCAGATACAACTACAACTACACCAAGTAGTCATTTATTAAGTGCTGGTGCTGGTGACTGTCGTATTTATCTTGTTGATTGTAATCGGGCGCAAACATTTGATCCATCCACACCGAAATCCACTCCGCCTAATTATGTTGTACGTTCATTGTCTGGACATACAGCTGCAGTTTATTCATTATCTGTATGGAGTCCGGGGTCATTGTTTGTTTCTGGTAGTGCAGATGCTACTGCACGTTTGTGGGATTTACGAGCACCAGCGCCGGTACTAATTGTCCCGTCTTATTCAGGTTCACAAGGTTAGTTTTGTCTATTTGTATGTATGTTTTTGGGTGTTATTATTACCGCATCTTCCTGTACTGAGTGAATTTCAATTTTTAGACAACTGTGAATGGTAAGGTAGTAATCGGAGATAATTATTAAGAGAGTGGTCCACTAGTAGTATTGGTACATTCAGATTGCTAGGAACGTGATTGGTGTTTAGTTCTCCCGAAAACAGATACAAACTTACCCTCTAGCATGTCTTCTTGATAATTAGAATATAACATGAGCCGATCCACATATTTGCCAGTGAATATGACTGACTGAATCGACAAGAATGCTCCCACTTATATTTAGTGCTAGTTCCAGTCGGAACTTAGTGAACACCATGATTTTATGACACCCATCAATGTTAATAAACATAAAGTTCAAATCCAATGTTCTTTCTGTCAGTGAAAGACAACAATCAAAAATAAATACGCAAACAACAATTACATCACAGTTTTGGACAACAATCAATTGAATCCTAATATTAATGAAAGATGATGTTATACACTTGTAAGAACTTCTAACAGCTCACCTCTACTGAATTATGTATGCTAGTAAATGTTTGTAATTTATTGTTGCTGATATTCACTACTGCGATACTCCGATTTCTGTTGCCGAGTGTGCGACCTTGTGACTAAAGGCTTTATCGAGAGACAAACTACTCACAATACGAATATACCATAATACACTTGTTCCGCTACATTCCTGAGTATGAACGAAGGGAAATTACAATCCCTTCACAATCGTTAATCAAACTAGTGCTCATCTGAACCTAGTGGATATTACGGAGTTTGAAGCAAAAGAGTACAAGAATCGTTTGTTATTGTGAACTTGAATACCAGGATACAGGTATATCTACTTAATGAGTCCTAAATAAAACTTCATATGCATCTTAGTTTCCACTGCTATCTGCATACCAAATTTACTAATCCATATGTTGATGATGTCATTTATAAATTCAAAGAAAGTCTACCGATTACATCATCTAGCCGAAAGAACAGAACGCCTTCAATTATCATAAACATTATAAACTAAGATGTATAGTGCCAGAAAACAATTCACCATAATCATTTTTTTCAGATTCATATATCGCATCAGAAAAATTAACTTGTAGTGTAGGATTTGAAAAATTGTTATAAAATTGTTTTGGTTGTTAAAAATAATAAACAGGATGTAAGCAATACTCCTAACACCGTCGGATGCCGACCCAGTGGTCTAAAGGATAGATGTTCGCCCGCAAGACCGAAGGTCTTGGATCCGAATCGTACGAGGTGCAGGAGTCGTGGATGCGCACTACTGACGAGTCCCGTACTAGGACGAAACAGCCGTCTTTCAGTGCTTCCAGGTTTCTAACAACGATTGATTGATCATTTCAATGTGCTCTTAAGATTACGTTATTGACATACATGCTTATCAAATCCATTGAAATCTTAAGACAACACAACTAATCAGTGTAACAAGTTTTTTCTTTTTTTTCGTGAACTGCTAATTATATGGAGAAAATATATGTGACAGATAAAAATAAACTGGACATAATTAGCTAGATTATATAGGATGCTTTGTTTTCTTTTTTCAAATCATTCACCCTTTTCTACCAAATAAAAAGTAAGACTTGATTATCAGGTTGACATTTTTGCCCTGACATATTACCATGAATGAAAGGTAGTAGTGACATACATTGCAATAAATCAATTATTGATACGTATTTGTTATTTTGTAAATAAATATACTAGATTATATGATAAAAAAAATTGGACTTGATTTGTTTATCTTCAAATTTGGCATATTTCTTCTGTCCGTTGATTTTGTTTGACTGTAACTGTTAATAATGATCATATTGAAAAATGATAACTTGTCCTAAATTAGTGTTTATATTATTTGGTCACCTCGTACATGTATATAAATATATATATATATATGTATATATATATATATATATATATATATTTATGCGAAACGTTTACAGGGAATTTTGGAATACACTCTGTGAATACCAGAGTTATTTTATTTACAATAAGTACAGTGTTATCAGCAACAAAACAGAAATATCTCGTTTACCATTATACATGGTTTGGCAACGTCCGTCTAATGATTCAACGGTGTAAGATTGTAACAAATCTTAGCAATAGACACCATCGTTGCGAAAGATTATGGTAACTTTACTCTATGATGCTACGGTTAGTAATGCATTTCTGTTTTCGACCGTAAGTTCTGTATTCCATTCTTAATGATAAAAAATATATTCACAATGGTTCTCGAAATTCTCAAAAAAAGAAAATAAGTTACCGAAATTTTTATTCATCTAACCATTGCGGATTTTAAAAACATGAAGAATAAAGCAACGAAATAATACTTTGAAATGCAACAACAAGTTAACTACCATGTGCTTGCTTTCTGTATTGTCATAGGGTTTAGAAGTGATTTGGTAGTTGTCTACATCGTTGAGGAATACTTCTTGAGGTACCTAAAAATTAAGTTAGATTTATAATGGTCTTAGAAACTTAGGAGCCTAATCGCAGAGCTAACAAAACGGCATTACTGTACTTGTACTTTGTGGCAGTTCTTATCACAAACTAGTCAACCAGTTTTTTACAACGTAGAAATCTGACTCATGTATGCATAGGTTTACGTTCCCACACCAAATTAGCGCAGCCATATGAATTCATTAAAATAAATCCATGAGTAATATAAGTAGCAGCAATATTAGTAGCAGTAGAAAAGATTTGCCATAATGGATACACCTTGAAGTTTTGAGCCGATCCAAGTTAGACCACCAATGAAAACCCGGAAGTATCATATGGCTGTCCCGTCCTAGTACGAGATTACGCAGCAGTGTGTATTTACGATCCTACACGCGGGAATCAAGTCCAGGAACTTTGATCTTCCAAGTAAACGCTTAACCTTTGGTCTACTGCGTCACTATCCAAATGTGTCAATGGCTGACATCAATCGATCCACAACATAGCTCAACTGTCTCCCATTGCCTTTAGTGGGTAATTAATTGCCTCATACCCCATACGGTCTTGCTCCACTGCTTGCGGCTTCTAACTAGAACTCTGTAAATTCTCTATCGAGTTTAGTCACTAGTGAGCACAGCAATGAGTAGATAAAATTAACACAATTATTAACATGATATCTTCATCACTAAGTTGCGTAGATACTATTCCTACAAAAATAGATAAATTGCTTCATTTTTCATAGTGAAAACTCACATCTTTCGTATCTTATTCTCCTAACCATAATTATTAATAATCAAATAAATATACAAATAATTTTAAGTATTTTCATACTCTGTTGATGAGGGTAAATAATGCTAACAAATTGTTCACTTGTTCAATTATCTTCTCATTAAAAATCTTAAAATTATTAACTTGTAATTGTTCGGTAGGATATATTTATTGTAATCTTATTGAATACTTTCAACCGTATGTTTACCCTATTTTAACACATGAAACATTTGTTTAAAATAAACAGTTTCTGAAAACATCAATTTTATCAAGAATTTCGAGTGCCGATATAAGTATTAACACTAAGATACAGTCATATTCAGCTGATAAAAAGTACCATACAATCGTTCTAAGTTCAAATGATTCCCGCAAATTCATGTAATTTATCTGTTAAAAGCGTACTACTTAAACAATTCTCGAACTATAAAAATAATCTGATATCATTTATCTATCCCTTACGTTTAACTTTACTGTTTTTATCCAACTGACTATATCTGTAAAAAGAGGTACGAATTCTGTTATTAATTTTTAGAATATGTATTTACCGAAGTCATTATTACTAACAAGAATTTATCCATTCTATAAGTTTAACTTATAGTTTGATTGTTCTCAAATAACAACATAAACCTGTAACTAATTATTGCTGTCAGAATCGACTGTGAGTTGTTACGTACTTCATTAGTATTTCTTTTCATATAAAAATTCTCTTGCGAAACTCGAACTTCTCTCTCTCTCTCTCTGTAAAAGCATCCACAATTCTCCTCATTCTACAACTAAATTTAATTATAAAAAATCACATTATCTAGTTATTTTATTCTTTTGAATCTTTTTGTCATTGTTCATCTGTGATTATTTTATTTTTAATTCAGGCAGTGCATTTGCTTCAGTCACCGTTGAACCTAGTTGTAATCTATTGGCTAGTGGACATGAAGATTCAACAATATCATTATTTGATTTACGCGGTGCTCGTTATATCAATGCGTATAGACCACATTCAAATGAAGTGCGTAGTGTACGCTTCTCACCAACTGCTTATTACTTACTATCAGCTAGTTACGACAAACGTGTTATTTTAACGGATTTTCATGGTATGATTATTATAGTGTTATTTGTTTGTTATTTTCTTTCATATGTTTTATTGTTACTATTAATTAAGTTCGTTTGTATAACATAGTTTATTGGTTGCAAAAAAACTATAGTTTGAACATTGATAATTCATAATGTAAAAGTGAAAATCTTAAACTCATCGACCGCTGTTGACTTTGAGTTTATGAAAACTTACTACTTGAAGTTCTAATGACGATCTGCTATAGGTTTGTTGGTAATAATCTTGTTTTTTGCTGTCCTACCACATTGCTAACTTTTAAATCGACTCACCTATACACACATGAAAAAATGTCTGAAATCGGTTGGCACAACCTTATTGCCAAAAAAGTAATTCATATCTTTATGTAGGCGGTTGGTCATTTCAATCTTCTCATCGTGGTTAATATTATCTTGCTCCTTAGGTATTTTGTAGTAATTTCAATATTTTTAAAATGTAAGCTCTTCACAACAATTGTTCAATCTAAATTTTCACTTTCGTATAGAATAACAATATTAAGATATCTAACTATGAGTGAATGAGTCTGTCGTTTAAATTAGATTTTTATGATGCATTCATAGTGTTCATAAAAATAACAATCTTAGTTTTCATATATGCTACTTTAATTTTTTTTTAAAATCTAATTCGCATATTCAAATTATCAGTTGATTTAGACCATAAAATTAATTAATATTTGTGTTTGTTTTTTTTCTTCCCGAAACAACAATGGTATTTTGTTAATCAAAAAAATTTAGGTGATTTATCTAAACCATTGCCTTGTGTTCAATTGGCTGAGCATACGGATAAAATTATACAAGCACGTTGGCATCCAAATCAATTATCATTTATTACCTCAAGTGCAGATAAAAGTGTCATTTCATGGGCATTACCCACTGAGTTGTGATATATATATTACATATATATGCTTCCAATGACTATATTAGTGCTAGGACACAATCATTCGTTTCTCTCTCTCTCTCTAATACATGATTTTTATTCATTGTTCCACATGCTTTCGTATATAAAGTATTATATGCACGCTTATTCAGTGTTCATACTTGTTTGCCTATTTACATTCGGATCAATTTGTAGTCAAACTTGAATCGTTTATTCTATTGCGTATGCCCGGAATTGTGTATAGTGCAATAGTACAATTGATATCCTGGTGAAATTTATGAATCCTATGTTTTGTAAACGATGTATCAAGTTGTACTACTCGTTGAAAATGAGTTCATCCTCAGTTTGCCGCTGTATTCTTCTTTTTTTAATGTGCATGTTTCGGCTTGCTTTCCAATGTGCATGTTTGATTGACTTATCAGCTTTACTTCTCAATATATATATATATATATATATATATATATATATATATATATATATTAAAAAGATTTACATATATGTATATGTATTATTGTTCTTAAATTTTTGGTGATTACTGTTTTCTTGATTCACTAATTATCCAATATGCATGATTGCTAAATGTTTTCACTCCAAATAACTATATCACCAATAATAATTGGTCAGCACTCTCGATTATAATATACAGTGTTATGCATTTCTACTGTGATACAGTTATGTTTTTCTTTTTCTTGAACATTAATTTTTTCATTGATTACGGTCATTCTACTTGTTACTTTCTTACATAATGTCAATTTGATTCTTAATCTAATTTTTTTCTTTTAAATTGAACAAACAACGTATGTTTTCTGTTTGTTTCTTCTTCAAATTTCAAATCAAATCATGTAGTCGATCACTGTCAGTTGTATGATTCATATAATGCAACTACTAATCGTGTTTTTATTAATTTGAATAAATTACAATTTGTTTCGTTTGAAATTTATCTATTTATTTATTCAGAACAAGTTTGTTAACCGGACTTTGAGCATCACAGTTTGACTTCCAAAAGCAAATAGTCATCTTTTTTGAAATAATACTTTATTCCTTCAGTTAGAAAAAAAAATTACGATTTCTCTCAATCAAGCATCAGATTGTGTATGGTCAATCAAACACGTTTGCTTCTCAATATCTTTCCGGCCAAAAATGCACAATCAAACAAAAAAAATTAAATGTTGATCACATTACTATCGACCTCAATAAAACCAGTTCCAAATTCATATCTGTGAACGATTTAATGTATAGTTGCCAACAGCCTCAAAGAGAAAATATCAGTAAAATAGGAAGCAAAATAAATAACTCTATGTATAAAGAAAAAGTGTGAACAAAGAATGATTGACACACAGTGTTCCCTTATGGTGGATTCTCATACACATACCTAACAAAAAGATTGCACAATTAATATCCGGTGAGATGCGAAGTTGCCTCAATACTCATTGAAAGAAGACCAATAAAAAGGTTGAAGAAACAACGAAGGTAATACAATAATATTCAAATTTGTTCCACTTCTGATGCTTAGTATCATTTATTAAAGTTACTTACATTTACGACCTCATATGACTGTCTTACCGTCCGTTTATTACCTCTTCCGGTTATAACATTTCGATTTCACAAATAAAAACTTACTACTTCCGTATTCTACTTATCTGTTATTCCTTCCAGTTCCCTAAATACACTTGCAAATAAAATGTTAGAATAAATATCAGATATCTTATTGATTCTTTAATATATAACGTGATGTTTTTAATTCAAAGTTAGCTATAAGTGGCACGAACACTTACAAATGTTTGAGAAATCATTAGTGATGGCTTGCAGCGTTAGTAGCCACTCAGTTCATTGGTCATCCAACTAAAGATGAACCGGGATGGTTTTGTGTTTTATGATACACCAAAAATGGATATACGCTATAACATACGTCATGCTTTAGTTAAAACATTACAGAAAAGAGAAATTCTTCGGTAAAAGATACTAGTTGCCCCCATTAAAATTAATACTATCCCTCGTTTAGATTTGATTACTGTAGCAACAGCAAAGTTTGCTGCATTCTTGCCAATGAGGTGATGGGAATGGATCAGTGATCGTCCGTAAAATAGAAACTGCAATCTAGTTTCTTTTGTTTATTTTTAAGGAATCTTTTGAGATCTTGACAGTCAATAAAGTATGTAAAATACTATTCACCACCAGTGATTAGTGTTTGGGATGTAATGTCCCCAGAACTCACTTGGGAAAGGTCCCAATTCTGAATTTTTGTATTCTCGGGCATAAGTTGCTTAGTTGGCCTTGAGATTACACTTCTCACTCGGAAAATCCTTGACCGTTATTGGTTGATGTATTATTTTAGTACTCTGTTTTTAAGGCTCTCCCAAAGACGTTTCTGTCATGTATAAATAAGCTCAATTTGTATGCTTAGCAACCTCGTATTTTCTGGGTGCTCGTAGAATATACTTTCTACGACTTATCAAGACATCGTGATATAGTTAGCTAGGTCAGAAACAAACGAATTAGAATCGCCTATCGTGTCACTGAGCCACTGCATCTTTTGTCTACGCTCCGTTTACCGAGCAAAGTGAACTCGAAATTTTTCAAGCATTATCATATGACGAGCGTATCATAGCTACTGACAGAAATCCGCCTATAGACCCTCCAGGGCTACTGTCGTTCCCAATCCCGGATGAGGGATGATAGTTGGGGTTGGCGACCCCAACATCAATTTCATTTCACCTTTTGCAGATAGGTCAAATGTGGGGAAATTCGAATGCTTCACTTGTATCTGAAGTTTGTGCTGATGATGTTGTTCAGAAGAACAATGAAAGCTCCACAACCAAAACAACTAGCTCAGAAAACGAAACACCACCACGATACGAAATCCACTCAGCCTAAGCTTCGCGTATCTGGAAACCCTGCTGCTGCTTCCCGTGGCATCGATGGCGTAGGTATAGTATTAAGTTGTAGGGCAGAACTAGCTCTCTTAGACTGGACAGTCGCTTGTGCACTGTCCGACTAAACGGGACGGTACGGACTCGGAAGGATAGGGACAGTCGCCGTTGCCTCTCCGTCGTATCTGCCTACGCTCCCTCTGACTGCAGTTCAGACGACATGAAAGACAATTTTTATAGAAACCTCTCTAGACTTCTCCAAAATGTTAAGCGCTCTGATATAGTAATAATGGCTGGTGACTTTAACGCTCAAGTAGGTAGACTAAGTGAAAAGGAAAGACACCTGGGTGGATCTTATGGTGTCGCGGCTAATAGAACAAATAATGGCGACCGTCTGTTGCAGCTATGGTCAGATAACCGCTTATTCCTAGGAAACACTAACTTTAAGCATAAGGTAAAACACCTTTTGACCTGGCGACCTCCAAAGCCGACCCAACTAGATCACATCGCTATAAGCCATCGGTGGAGAGGCTCTGATGAAGACTTCCGCTCACTCTGGAACAATTGTTTAGACTGAGACCATGCTCTAGTGAGAGCGCGTATTCATTTGCGCCTTGCTGGACGCAAGAAAAATATCATAGGGAAACCTGTTAGGGCTGTATTTAATGATAATGAAGCTAAGAATATATTTCAGGAACAACTAGAAAAACAGTTCAGCAGCCATGTAGTAAGTGATGCCCACCCTGAGGCAGCTTGAAACGATATTAAAAAGACTGTGGAAATAGCAGTGATATCTTCTAGTGAAGTAAACCATAAGGTTAGGGAGAAGCCGTGGATTTCACTAGCATCTAACGAACTGATGGATGATCGTAAACTCATCCCGCCTGGCTCTGAGTACGATGAGAAGTGGAGTCAGCTCATGCGCAGGCTGTTAAAAAGCCTTCGAAATGATCGAGAACAGTGGTAAGTAGCGAAAGCATGGCAACTATTCAGATTCATCAAGGAAACCGGTATTAGGAACCCGAATGTCAGGTCCTGGAACACAGAAACACATTTACGCGTGCGACAATAGTTTTCTTCCTGGAGCTTAAGGAGGCATATGACTCAGTGGATCGTGAGGTTCTGTGACAGTATCTGTCATTAAAAGGTGTGCCAAGGATGTATATTAACCTTATACAAGCTCTCTACTCGATCACCACTGGTCGAGTGAGAGCTTATGACGAACTGTCACTGGAATTCTTTACTTCAAGTGGTGTCTGTCAGTAATGTCTACTTTCCCCATTCTTGTTCAATTTTGTCATAGACATGCTGCTAGATATAACTATCTTCGTCTGAATTTTCAGGAGAAGACATTCTACCAGGAGGCTCGCTTGCTGACTTAGAATATGCCGATGACATATTTCTATTCGGTGAAGATGCTTACAAAATTCAGAGTCTTACGGCTACTGTAAGCAACAATGAGAGCATGTTCGGGATGCGGTTCTCACCCTCGAAACGCAAAATGTTTTTTGAAGATTGGCTTGCGTGATACAGAGTGAAGCATTTGAGCCTGTCTGTGGCTTCACTCAACTGGGGATTCTCATCAGTGCCGATGGCCTGATGACTTATGAAATGTGAGCATGGATACAGAAGGCTCGATCGGCTTAGCCAACCTGCATCGCCTATGGCGTAGGCGAGATATCCGTTTGCTGACTCAAGGACGAGTGTACCGTGCAGCAGTTTTCTCCGTCCTACTATACTGTATTTGAAACATGGCCAGTAAGAGTTGTGGATATTCGTAGGTTTTTAGTATTCGATTATAGGCGTCTTAGACTCATTGCTTGTGTATCATCGGACAACTGGGTAAGTAATACTGTTGAATAGAGGATGGCTAACCAGCGGATGAAGTATTGAAACTCTCTCGGTTGAAGTGGTTTAGACGTGTACTGCTAATGCTGATGGCCTCGAAAAACGATGTTTTATGCTAAAGGGGTAAGCTTGAAGAAAGCTTGGGGCGGTAAAACCAAAACATGGCAGAAATCCATAAAGTCACTGACAACTTGATTGAGCATTTTTCGTAGGTATCAACTATTGGTCTGGGTCCCGCGAGATAATGATAATCGATGGCTAGAGACCCTGAATGACATGGCTCAAAACCGTTTGCAATGGCGCAGGTGCATTCATTCTTTGTGTTCTTTCAAATCCTAACCTTCGGAGTTCCTCATCACCTTTATCTTTCCCTTTCTGAAGTAACATCACTGAATTTTACTTCTTGAATAATATCTTCGAACCCTAATCTCTTCGATTACTTCTAATTCTTTTACTACCTCTACTACTATGGTATTCGAGTTGACGATTGCGCCTGTGGTAATGTATTATGGCAACAAGAACTGATGTACTTACGTACGAAGTCCCATGTTTTTGTTGACTGAACTACCAGAGAGGAGATTGACGGGGGATCGAAATGCGTACGTATTGCGTGTCTTGCAAAACGAAAGACTGAAGATAAAGTATATACTGTTTTTGGTAAACTGTGTCTTCTCTAAAAATAGTGTATTCAATGTATTCTGCATTTCTTCGTTTAATGCAATACGAACTACTTAGCGCA